TTGTGTTAAAAATCTAGAAATGTTTCAAAAATGCGTCCGTTTTCTTAAGAGCTTCTTTCTCTGGAAGCGATTTCTAGCCTTGATTTCTATAGATATAGATTGATATGAATATATATTCTAGATACGCTTTACTGACTTAATCAATTTAGTTTTGTGTAAAATCAGCCGCGCCATCAACTTAAGACTAGAAATACTTTTTAAATTCATTAGCTATCTTAAGGCACGCCCAGATTTTTAACACTTTAAAGTATTTTATTGTCTTTTTAGTCAGTCAATATATTAAATATAATATATTCAAAAAGTATCCATTTTTTCGCAAAAAATATGCGTTTTTTCAGACCAGTTTCAAAGTTTAAAAGTCTTAGCAATTCAGGTGAACTTCTGAACTATTTTTACTTCTAGTTTTTGGCGAAAAATCGTCGTTTTTCGACGAATCGAACGACAAAATATCGATTCCATTATAGCGTTTAGCAGTTTTTCAGTTCAGTTTATAATATTGACCAAATTATATTACTTGGACGGATGTGTATCCATTTCTTTAAAAATAAAAATTCATGATATTAACACTGATTTATTTAGAATCTCTTTATGTTCTTGAAAGTTTTTCTTCAAATTAGGCTTTTTAGAGCAAAAAAGACAAAACAATTTGAGAGATTTTTGTATTCACAAACAGTAGCTAAATTGATTTAGAAACAAGCGATTTTTTTTGTAAAATAGTCGTACTAGCAGGAAACTTATAAATTCTACAATGTGCTTTGCTGATTTTAGTGAATTTTTCTGTTAGAATCCAATATGTTACAAAAAATACATTTTATGGACTGTTTTAAGCTTAGGCTAATCATTCAGAAACATTCCAACATTTTTCGTAAAGCTGTGTATTTAGCAAAAAAAAAACATTGAAACACCATACACAATAATTACAAAGAATTCGAAAATAAAAACGAATGCGATGCAGCGAATAAAAATGTTAAAAAGAGTAAATAAGAAAACGGAAAACGAAAAGACGACGAAAACATTAAGAAACACATCTCAAATGAACTTTGAAAAAATGAAAGCTAAACAGGAAATGATAAAGAAATAGAAAATTAAGATTTTCACTGCCTAAGGACAACATGTTGCAGCAAAAACATTCACAAAAGTCAGGAAGTTTTTGCGTCCAGAAGATAATTTTGGAAGCGACATTTCTTGCATTAATAGAGTAACCAATTATGGTAAAAAAGCCAAGGAAGAAGCAAAAAGTGGTGATTAATACACACAATAAAACAGGTAAATAGAAGCGACATTAAACAGAACTTAAACAATATCGATTACATTAGTATAGTGTTAAATGAGGCAAAACACCTGAAATTAAAAAAATGAAGTGATGTCAATCAAAACAGGCCAAAACGAGAAGAAGTTAAAAAACTGAAACCAAAAAAGGACAATGTAATGGCAAATAATTCTTATGAACATAATTAGTAGAAGATAAAAATGTTGTTAACTTGAAATTAAACAAGACAAAATCAAGCAGGTTTTGTAAGATGCCAAACACTGCTGAATGAATAAAACTAATAAAATAAAATTCAATGCCCATTTAAGAAAAATAGGAGTAATTAAAACAGTTAATCCGTTTGCTGACAAATTAGCAAAATAATGTTCCGAACTTTATAAGGCAACCAAAAAAAATTGAATGAAATTTGAATATAAAATCCTAGACAGAATTCTATTGAAACAATCGATTGCAGCTTTTCGTCTGCGTCTGTATCAAATATTTAATCAAAAGCTAAGGGATTTTAAGAATAAAACATTTGACCTTGGACAGGACAACAAACAGATGAAAATATTTAGAGTAGAAACAGCAGCAGAATTACAATTAAAATGTTTCATCAGCAATAGAACAAGACAAATTTAAGTAGGTTTTGATGGAAGCTAAAAACTGCCGAATGAAAAACAGGCAACAAAATTAAATTAAACGCCCATATTAATGGGCATTAAAACTTTTTATCTACAATTAGGCAACTAATGTTCCAAAATTTACAGCAAAACTAAAAGAAAAAGGAATCTATATAGTCAGAATCCTATGGAAACAAACGTTTGCAGATCATCGACAGCGTCCGATGTTCGATTCGAACATGGAAAATGATGACTATATTAATATTTATTATACCTAGTCTAAATTAAAAGCAGAAGGAAAACAAGTAATTTGCCCTGAACTATATGAAAAAAACAGCAACAAACCGAATAAAATTAGTTAGAAAAATAGAAGAAAACCAGCAGAAGCAATACAATTAAAATATTTAACCAGCAATAGAACTAGGCAAACTCTAGTAGGGTTGGCTAGAAGCAAAAACTGCTGAACAAAAAAAAACGTCCTTATAAAAATGAGCGAACAATTAGAACAGTAAAACATCTTAAAATTGCCAAATAGGCTGCCAGACTTTCCAAAACAACTAAAAGAACGTAATGAAAATGCAAGTCAGAATTCTCCGCAAACTATCGATTGCAAGACACTTCGTCTGCAATTTCCAACATCAAAGATCCTGACGATATTAAGCGATATTTAATGTTCCGCCGGTCTTATTTACGAACGATATATTAATTTGTCAACAGCCGATTATATAAGATCATAATTAATGTCCCGTATGGGACATATGGAAGGCCTTTGGGCCGATGCAGACATCCTGGAGCCATTAGAAGCCGGATCTTTTTGCTGATTTAGCTCGGGATTTGCTCGATGGCAATGACGAAATATTAAAATAGACCGATGAAAAAACGTGTTTTGTTCTCAAAATTTACATGGAAATTATGTTTTCGAATTGCCTAGGCTAAAAAAAATAAAAATTCTGCTTTGGGAAGGTCTGAAATACGTTCACAGAATTGGAATCAATTTTTTCCTAGTGACAGTGCTGTAAAAATAGACAACCTGAATGTGTCTGCTGGATAACACTATTAATCAACCTTATACAGAGTGTATCAGCGCAAGGCTTCGATAGTTAAATATTTGGAATACAGTCGCTTTTAATAAGTGAAGTAGAAGTTGTGGCTTGAAAAAATAATGAAAATTGTATATTTGACTTACAATTATGTGGATTTTGTCCCCATCTAGTCCAGTAATAGACAATTATTGGGCAAATTTCGTTTATACAACTAATGGTCTGCTTTATAGAAAATTTCATACAAATCTAGAACAGATCATCAACTATACGCAAGTAACAAGGGTGCAAATGAGGTTCTAAAGCAAATTTTATAATAGTAGAAAAAATTGGGATAAGATCCTTAACTTAAACATTAAAAGAACACATTTTCTAACAGCTTCTTACTGAACTTCTACCTGTTGCAATGTAAGATTAAGCCTCAAATGGAAATTCGCACATGAATTGATTTCGCTTTACGTTTTTTCTCAATTTTTTTTATGCTGATCCCTTATTAAATGAAAGGCGTTTTTTGATATTTTAATATGGATTTTCCGGCTTGATCAAACTGCCCATTTTTGCACAAAGAATGATAAACCATCAACCACAGGAATTTTTGTTTTGAACTTTATTTGGTTTCTTCTAAACTTTCTAAACTGGAAATAAAAATGGTGCTCCTGCAAAATACATCAACGACCACATGAGTGGAACAAGACAGAGCCGCATTAGGCGTGCATTAGAAAGAGGCGAAAATGCTGTCGATTTCTTCTGAAGCCACGCCTACCAAGTCACTTCATCCTTGTTTCACTTGTTGACAATGCTTAAAAAAACAGCAAAATTAATGTTTTTTTAAGAACATATCTGTTCATTAGGGAAAAGCTCTTGCTGTTATATAAGGAGTGTCTAATTTTAAGTCAACTTTTCTGCACTATTCTTTAAATATTAAGAATCAATATTCGGTTTGGTTTTCGGATATCAATTTTTCTGGGGTCACACCCCTGAAGATGCCAGCTATGCCTTCGAGCAAAACGTCAGTACGAATCAACTACCTGAAAATCACCAATTCACCAATTTTCCATGTACATACTCGTGAAACTATTTGAAAATCAACTCAGTTTCATCAAATATTCAACCCTGAAAATTGCTATTATTTAATTAATGAAGCTTTAATTCGGATTCTGCATTTCGTCAACTCATTTACCGAACAAACACTATTGAATAAGAGTGGCATAATTAGTAAGTTAAATTAGATAGTTTTATTTAAGCAGCTCCATTAAAATCTGCAAGGTGTCCAATAAATGTTGAATGTTTTACGGATGGATGCTAATAATAGGCACACATTTGCATAGGAACATCGATAAAATGTTTCCAAATGGTGACAAAAGCCACTTCTTGAATGATGATATCAGAACGCGTTATGTAAGAGAAAATCAGATTATTAAATCAGCCCACATATAACAACAGGCTTTGCATTCATTAACCTTAACCCAAACTTTTATGTTGATGAAATTCATAGGCATTTGCCTAATTCACGCGTTTGGTTTTTCACTTTTTGGCTTAACGGCCCGAATTAAACTAAGGTTCTCAAACTTGAAATCCTGATATAAAATATAAAATAGTGTTTTACTTGCTGCAAATACGTTTTTGTTCATTCAAAGTCTTGGAAGTTCGTAACTTTCCTTTACTCAGAACGACTCAGTTTGCTGGAAGCCAGGTCTAAATAGATTAAAAGTTCCACAGAAAAACACATGCAGCAAGAGCGAAACTCTTATCAAAATGGCATTTATGGTCGAATTTGCTTCTACTTTTTCAAAGTTAAAATGTTGATAAACGCACTTTTCTTTAAGGATAAAAAAATCCTTTTTTTGAGTAAAAACCATCTAAATGAGGTTCTTCACTGCGTATACTTCTGATGAGATTCCGCTTGGATATCAGCGTTTTTTAAACCTTCTGTTGTGCCTTTGATTCTTAACTTTTGAACTCAGAAATGTATAACTGGAAACCAATCCAGTACTTGTGCAGGAAATTGATGAAAACGGTCTCTACAGCTTCAAAGACATTTCCACACTAATTTGCGCGAAACAAACCAGACAAAAAAAAACGCAACCATTCAAATGAACCTTTATTCATAGCAAAAAGCAAGTCATTTTGTACAACATTCGATTACCATCCTGGCAGTATTATGGCACTGAAATCATTAATACTTAATCTAGTTCTTCTTGGCGGCCTTCTTGGAGTCCCTGCCAAATCTGACTCCTCCAGTAAAGTCGTAGGATCCCAGAAGGACGGCAGGCTGAGCAACCACCGAGGAGGAAGAGCTGTAGCTGCGACTTCCTGCCTGGATGGCGGCAACTTGGCTGGCGAATTCGGCGTTAGATGCAGCTGAAGCTGCAGAAGCACCAGATGAAGATATGCCGTAGGAGCCGGATCGAGCTGCAGATTGAATGTCAGCAACTTGTCTCTCAAAGTCGGCATTAGCGGCTGCGTTAGCCGATGCCAAAGCGGATGAGGCAGCAGCTGAAGATACAGCAGAAGATGAACCGTAGGATGTAGATCCACCGCCCGCCTGGATGGAGGCCACTTGCTTGCCGAAGTCAGTGTCTACAGTTACGGAAGACACTCCGTTCTGGCCTACAGCAACGCCGCTATGGGATGCAACAGCAGAAAGCACTGGGGTGCTTTGCGCTACAATTCCACCAGAAACCAGTTGGCCGGATACAGCTGAGCCACCTAGAGACGCAACGGATAGGCCAGCAGGCTGGGCGAAAGCCAATGAGGGCTGGGAAACTGAGTAGGTCTGCAGGGATGGAATAACTTGAACCTGCTGTTGGACTGGGACTTGAACTTGTCGCTCTACAGTTACAACTCGGTCTACTGGTACTGGAACCTGGACTTGCTTCTCTACAGTGACGGGGTAGGGACGGTCTACAGCTACTGGCACTTGACGTTCAACGGGAACAGCCACTGGTCGGTCTACATGGACTGCGTAAGGTACCTTCCTTTCAACGGTGTAGGGAACTGGTTTTTCCACCACTACTGGAACACGCCTTTCAACAGTAAACGGAACTGGGCGGTCAACATGCACCGGGTATGGGACCTTGTAGGGCACAGCTACTTGCTTTTCAACTGGGACTGCGTATGGTTTGTTGATGTAAACAGGGTAGGCGACCTTTTTCTCGATATGGACGGGGTAGGGCTTGTCAATGGGGACCTCGACCTTGTAGGGAACAGCCACAGGCACTTGACGTTCAATGGTCACAACCACTGGTCGGTCTACAGTGTAGGGAACCTTCTTTTCCACGTGGACGGCGTAGGGCTGGGGAACTGGCACTTGAACAGGCACTGGCCGGTCTACAGCCACTGGGACTTGCTTCTCTACGGTCACTGGGTAGGGGCGGTCAACTTGAACTGGGACGGGCACCTGCTTCTCAATGTGGACTGGCACTGGTCTGTCGAATGGCACGGGCACTGGCCTGTCTACTGGCACGGCAACTTTTCGCTCAACTGTTACGGGCACTGGACGGTCTACAGCGTATGGGACAGCAACCTGCTTGTGAACAGCAACTGGGTAGGGTTGGGCGACTGGAACTTGCACGGTTCTGGTATGGACCACCTGTTGCACTGGTTGTTGCACAGATACAACAGAAGGTTGTTGTTGTAAAGTGACAACGGAGGGAGAAGAAGCTAATGCTCCGCCAGAGACTAAACCTCCAGAAGAGACTAAACCTCCAGAAGAAACTAAGCCTCCAGACGAGTAGAAGCTGGGAGAGCCCCCAACTACACCATAGCTTCTCAATTGGGGAACAACGTTGCTTCCGTAGCCGGAAACGAATCCTCCCGAAGAGTAGAGGCTTGGGGCGTTTCCAACTACACCGTAAGAACCGACTTGGGAGACAACATTGCTGCCATAGCTAGTAGTCAATCCGGAGTAGGGAAGGCCTCCAACTGAGTAGGCATTCACCAAGCCTGAGCCGTAGAGCGACTCTTCCAGGCCAGTGCTACGCTTGTTTCCTTTGGAGACATTATTCTTTGAAGGTTTGGGGTCTGCGGCCAACGCGACAGAGACGGCGATGACTAGAAGCAATGCCTGGAATAGGACAAATTTGCTTAAACTATAACGATTGATTTCCATAATGTGAAAGAGAGTCCATAAGAGTACCATAATGGAAAAGTGCTGTTAAGTCTTATTCTTGTCGAGCAAAATGAGGGTTTCGGCGATATAAGTACAGTTTGCTGTTGGTTGATTAGATGAAGGTGCGTTTGAGCGATTGGAGACCCTGTGGAAGTGCACCGTACATATTTTTGTGTTTGCGATATCGATAAGCTTCATAAGAATGAGATCACAAACCTCATTTAAGATCCCAGTGGCATTTATATCAAGATATGAAAGTAAGTCGAGATGGGATTGTATATATCAACCTCAGAGATGAGGAAGGAGTTGTGGTAGACCATGCAAAAAGGGACAGTACAATTGAGAAAACCTGGTGCAGGTTTTTCAAGCTGTCTATTAATGATTTTTTACTTCGGTCGTCAAGACAAAGCAAAGGAATTAAAATAAAAATCGCATTCGGTCACTGATTTTTCGCTTAGAATTTTTGATTCGCAAAATTCTTTTTAGAAAGAATCTTCCGCTTAGAAACTGTTCTTTTTACTTTTAAAATTGAGTTGATTTCTTAGGTTTTGGAACAAAATACAGGGGAGAAAAGGCGAATTAAAAGTACAGAAAAATTATCCACTTGAAACATTTTAAACCACGAGTATTTAAACTTTGCAACAAAATGACTAAGACTTTGGTATGTGGAAGTTCGAAACGGTTTTACCCTGCTTACAGGCAGACCTGACTTGATATCATTAAAAAAATTTAGAAATATCAGACTTACATTTAATATAAATCGTATTTCTCAAGACGACTTTTTACCGTTTGAATTGAGCTTTGTTTCACGATCGTGTGGTGATTGATTACATTGTTCAAATGACGTCAAAAGTTGGTTAATTAATTATTTTTTGGCTCAAAATCTAAACGAGATACAAGATTAATGGAATTCAGTGCGAGGTCTTGGACATGACCATCTATTCAAACATAAATTAGAAAAGTTCAGCTTTGTTACGTACGAATATCTTAGAAAACATCAAGCACTACATTGTTGAAAATAGTGAATTATATTTTAGAATATTGGCCATAAATTTTGCTTCTGCTCCAATTCGAATGTTAAAGCTCCCCTTCAATGCCCCCTTTTTGAAAATTTTAGCAAATCGACAAAGATTGTGTAACTTTTAGATACTTTAACTAGTATGAAAACAATAATTTGCTCTGGTTTGTGAAATCATAACTAAAAAAGTTTAGGTGAAAACCAAACGAAAATTGAACTTTGGATTAACGTATTGAACAAATTTCATGAGCTAAATTCTTAAAAGCTTTCAGACATATTTCCGGCAAGTATTTTTCCCTATAAAACCCGTCTTTGAAAAAAGCTTGGAAAATTTGTCACACTAGACAAACTAAAAAATCCATTTAATTTCCACACAAACACTAATGAAGAAATGTTAAATAATTGAAGAACAACTTACAAATGCCCTCATGGTGTATCACTGATGATTTGAACACCCGACTGATGCTTTAACCGAAACCAAAATCCGCTTATATATCGATGAAAAAAACTGGTTAGATTTTGATTTTTCAAAAAGCATATAAATTAAAATAGGAATATATTAAAACTAAAGCAGGCTGGTGAGATATATTCGCCTTCATCCATGTAGGAATTTCTTAATAGTTGAAATTCTACCAACAGATTCGATAGGAATGGGCTGAAGTTATCGATTATTGTTTGAGAAGATTTTCCTGTGGTAACGATGTTTTCCGGTTAGCTTTTAAAATAGAAAAGTTTGTGGATTTTAATGGTGATTTTTACAAGCAACTTCACGTGTCAATAACAATTTATACAACAACAATTTCACTAATTGGGCTTTAAGTAATTATGATAATTTCCGAACGCCTTGAATGAATTATGCATCAGATGTAGTTTGTTTTTCCATAAAAATTTATATTGTTTACGACCTTAGATTTAGTGGAAAGCTTATTAATTGAGTGCGTTTGTTAATATTTTAGCTAAACTCTATTTTTAGCTTTCAGGGTTTTTATTCTGGATTCTTCTAGAGTATTAATAAATTATATTTAGTTCTGTTGGTTGATTATTAAAAAAATATATAGCCATTCCCTTCGGGAGAACTTCGACAGCTTTCTTTTACATTTCAGTCAAATAAATCGATAATCAAACCGATAATAAAAAACCTGATAATAAATCACGTAATATTTTATTTGCTGTGTAACCTTAACGAGTTAACTGATGTGTCGATCTAAATTTCGCTTTTGCATAATATGAATTTTAATTTGATGACGATCGGAGCAATCACACTGTTACAGATTCATCTTCAAGGTCTACGAACATCCTTATATTCGTGAATTTGCATAAAAGAGCGAAATTTTTTAACTTAACGATCCGGATTCGTTATTTATGTCGACCAGGACCCATTTGGATTACATCATGGGTTGATGGTAAAAATGAGCCGATTTATCGATGTCGATTCCAACATTGAATTTGGAAAAGTTTCTGTTCAAGTTTCTTTGGGTTCTTGCTGGTTTAAGTAATCGAAAACTTTCGAAGTTTGCTTTATTATCGCTTTTCATTAGAATGGTTTGTTTTCGATTATTATTATAAGAAACTATAAGAAACCACTAGCAAACAACGACAAAATCTGCTAATGATTAATTCAGTTTATTACGATATTAATTTATATTTTCAGTCAATCAATTCTGAATTCTTCTTCAATTTTTTTATCGCAAGAGTTGCATGCAATCTACTTCCTTAAATTGTTGTCTGCACTGAGTTTAATAATAGGTTTTACTGTTATAATAATTAATTTAGATTAGTAGGTACATATTATCAGGTACTTATATTCGCACTAAACGCAACGAGAGGTTTGGATTGTTTTCAAATTACATTAGATCATCAAGGATACAGATTTTAAGTGATGTTCCCTCGGCCTTAAAGATGTACATTTTGTGAAGATTAAATTGAATTTATCTTCTAGAGTTTTTACATTTTGATCGCAACTTGATAATAGGAAACAATTCGGTGTAATTTGTAAGATTCTCATGATACAAAATAGCTTAATATACGGATGAAGCAATGGATTGTTTCAAAGGTTTCTAGAATATTAGAGGCTGAGAATATATTGAGGCTAAAAAGCGGTTGATTTTGGTGAAAGTGCAACGGCAATGAATATGTAGTGAAATTGTCCATTTTGTTTTTTCCAAATAAGTTATTTACTATTGGTCGATTTGTAAAATTTGGACTCGCAAAGTTGCTTTTATCAATATTTTTCAGTTGAAAATGCTCGTTTTTTCCATTATTGTAATTTCTTTAACGTATTTTTGAAATCACTTTTATAAACTTAAGAGACCTAAATCAGTTCAAAAATAATTTTTACTACTTTGACAGCCTGTGCACGACTTAAACAAGGAACTGTCTCAATTTTTTTCTCCAATAACTTCCATTAATTCCTCCGTTTTTAGTTGTTTTAATGAAAATTTTAAAAAATGTCTGTAGAATCATTTAGGGATTTCGCAGTTTTTTAAATGTAGACCTGAAGTCGTTTTTTAACTCAAAAGGCGTAAACGTTGAATACGCGTTTGTCCCGTAAAAAGTATTTACATTTTTAAGTATAAGCTGGTGAAATATATTTTTCGTTATTATTGGCACTTAAAAACTTCTTTTGAAGCCAATTTAAAAAAATTATGTGACTCAGCTTTGCTTCTTCAATAAACTTTATAGCCTCAGAATATTTTGTCATTAAAAAACACTTTTTAAATGCACATTTGAAGTCGCTTTTATACGCCAAAGTTTTCCCATCCAGTGTGGGGCTTTAGTTGTGTGTGATTTGCCAAAGTTATTTTGAGTCGAGTTTAGACTTTTCGCGTGTTTCTTACGCTGCTAATTTCAGAATGTTTAATATAACAGGGTTTTACAATCTCTATATGGGTTTAAAATTATTATTCACTTCATTTAATTTTCTTATGAACCAACTTCTTTCTAAGTTTTTGCTCTTTTTAAATCATCTAGTGCTCATTTGAAGTCGTGTTTATAAACGCATGTACAGGGGTATTTTTTGTATTTTGGCAGCCCCGTTTTAACATGTAATTGAAAATTTAAAAAAATTGCTACACGCAAAAATCATTCGACAATTCATGCCATTTGACGATTTTATTCGATTTTGAAAATTTTCCTTCCATAAGGGTCTGCACAAACTTCTTTGTCTTCCCCTGTAGCTCAGAGAGGATTTTTTTTTTTGAACCTACCAGAGTTGATTTGTCATGTAACCTTTTCATATCTAATAATCTGTTAAGTAATAGTTCAAAAAAAGTTTTAAAACATTTTTCAAAAAATTTTAGGGGTAAAACCCGCGCCATTTTTTAGAAATTTTACATTTAATTTTTTGTTTTGAAAATGAAGCTTCCTATCGGAAAAAAATATTCTTTATAAAATCTCGGGCGCATCGAGTACTATGTAGCGGTATTTTTTCAACTTTCGTGCTTTGGTAGTTTTCCAGAAAATCGGGAAAATATGGTTTCCAAAGAACTGCAAATATCTTGGTAACCAAAAGAGCTGCAGTGAATCTGAATTTTAATCCCCAAGTATAGGACCGATGACGAATCTTTCGTCGCACCCAGAATGAAGTTTAAGGAAAATTGAAACTTTTAGAGTGTCAATCTAATATATCGATAGTATATCGATAATGTATCGAAGCACGTGCCAATAGCGGTTTTCGTTTGTTAGCTATAAACATTCAATGTTGAAATATAGTGATTTTGAAAATATGATTTTTAAAATTTTTGCGTTTCTGAACACTATCAAATTCTTAGTGTTCAGAAACTCTTATTTTTTGTCTTCAGCGAGTTTAAACTTTCGTAATTATTTTATATCTATTTTATCAAGTAAAGTGGTCTAAAGGCTGAATAGGTATTACTAAATGAGTTTCAATACGGTGAAACTATAAATACAGTTATTTTTGCTGTATTCACGTCTTTTTATAAAGAAAAATACGCTTGTTAGTTTATGTTTATGTAATTTAGCTATTAATATTACACTGAAAACTAGAAATTTAAGTAAAAACGTTTATTGCTCTTAACAGCCCTTATTTAAACTCATGAAGATCATTTTCCGCCATCGAAAGTACATTTGAAGTCGCTGTTATAAACTCAAGTGATGTGAATAGTCATATCGATACCCTGAATATGCTTTCCTAATTTTGTTTTTAAATCAAGTAAAATTGTTGAATAAGTACAACTTGAAGTGTTTTAGCCATACCTACATTTTGTATTTCAAGTAATTTTCAACCGATTCATGACCAATTTTGAAGTCATTTTCTGTAACTTTATCATTAATTTTTCCTGATATTTTTAGTTGTGTTGAATCTGATTCTTAACTTTCTCAAATCACTTTTGAAGTCATTTTCATAATCGCAGAAAACACAAGTTCTGAACACGCCACTAGACGCAGTACTCCATTGATAGGGCAGAGTGTAAAAACTGTTTTTCATATAATTTCTTGACTCAAAATATAATTTCTCTATTTGTACCATTGAAGAAGGTTTGGTGTTGTTCTTATAAGGATAAGAGACAATTTTTGTAAACCCAAGTAATTTAAACTTGGAATATTTTGGGAAGCTTAAATTATTACCTAAGATCGCTTACACACTCACTTATACAGTCTGCAAGTGTTTTGCAATGTTGCACTTTGATAAATAACTCTAAAGCTTTACAAATGCAAATTTCAAATAATTATTATCGTTGTTAACGTATAATTTGCAAATTAATAATTTGCTTGAAAGCTTGAAAGTAACCAGATTATTGAAAGATATTGATAATACAAATCTTAAATTCACATTTAATCAATTTTCGCCTAATTTCGTTCAAACCTCGGTTTTATTACATGTGAAAAATGAGACTCATTATCCCCCGACTGAATGTTATTTTAAATATTTATATGATCCTGCATGTGCGCGCTCCGCTCGGGTTCTGAACTCATTTTTATATCAATTCTTTAGTGAGATGAGATTTTTAAGGCTGGAAACCGCCAGTTTGTTTATTCGAAATTGCCAAAACAATCACACCTTTATCTCAAGTGAACATTCGTTAAGTGGCTTGTTTACGAAATTTACCACTCACCCACTTTGATCGAAATTCGATTTCGACTCCAGCAAAGTTATTTAAAAGGTTTTGAATCGTTTAACTGGCAGTACCCCCTTAATTTTGTTTATAGTCGCATATTAGCTGAGGTCCCAAAAAGACATCAGTTGCGGGCCACACAACGAGAAAACTCGGTATTCCTTTATCTAAACAAAACGTAAAACTATCGTCAAGTACCTAAACATGTGATAAACCGATTTTTTCCACGGATGCATGGTTGCCATCTTCCAATTTTAAAATCAAAATGAAATTTATCCAGGCAATTAGCAGCAGAAAACTTGAGGTTGATTGAAAGCCACTTAGAACTGGTCCTTCGAACGGGATGGCTTAAAAATAAAATTGCAAGTGATTTAAGACTGACTCTGCAAAAGAATAGAAAATGTGTGGTTGGAACCTTTCAAAA